TGTCCATCTCTCTCTTTAAGTCTCTCGCCGGCCTTCATGGCCCACTCCTTTGAACCTTGGGAGAGGAGGAAGGTGGACGATGACGACATGTCATCGTCCTCCTGTGACGAATGGTGGGTGGAAGCCTCTCCACGTTCGCGGCGAAGGCGCACTCGGAAGAGGATGAGGGCACCATCTCCTGAGAGCAGGAGAATGATGGAGGAGGAAGAGAAGGACCTGCAGGCCCTCATTGTCTTCCTCCGGCAGATACATGAGGAGGAAGAAGCAACGAAGACGACATCAGCCGCCTCATCCGGGTCTCCAACAAAGCATTCGCAGGAAAAGGAGAGAGAGACGGAGAGAAGGAGAGAGAGAGAGAGAGAGAAAGAGAGAGAGAAAGAGAGTGAGAGAGAAAGAGGGGGAGAGAGAAAGAGAGGGAGAGAGAAAGAGAGAGAGAGAGAGAATTGATCGGTGACGTGGCATGGTCGGTGACGTGGGAGGGTCGCTGACGTGGCAGGGTCGGTGACGTGGCAGGGTCGATAACGCGGAGGTTGGTTGATTGTCTGGTTGATTGGTGGGCGGAGCCTTGGAGGTGGGTGGACCCGCGAAACTCGTTGAACCTGCGGGGAAGGCAGAACTGCGAAGGTAGGTGATCAATTGATCGATCAATCGATCAATCGATCAATCGATCGATCGATCGATCAATCAAGCAATCAATCGATCAATCGATCAATCGATCGATCAATCGATTAATCGAATCGATCAATCGATCGGTGACATGGCAGTGTCGGCAACGAGGCAGTGCTGAGGTGGCAGGCCGACGTGGCAGCGCGACATGCCAGGCCGATGTGGCAGCGGTGACGTGGCAGGGTTGGCAACACACCAGCGCTAAGGTGGCAGGGCGGCGTGGCAGCGCGGCATGCCAGCGCGACGTGGCAGCGCGACATGCCAACGTGACGTGGCAGCGCAAGAAGGCCACCACCGAGAGACCATGGGTGCCACATCATCGACACCAGAGACACAAAGAGAAAGAGAGAGAGAGAGAGAGAGAGAGAGAGAGAGAGAGAGAGAGAGAGAGAGAGAGAGAGAGAGAGAGAG